ACTTGCCATAGTTTGATGTGGTCCACACAGTCAAAGGCTTTTGCATAGTCAATGAAGCAGAAGTAGATATTTTTCTGGAACTCTCTGGCTTTCTCCAAAATCCAGCGCATGTTAGCAATTTGGTCTCTAGTTCTCTGCCTCTTCGGAATCCAGCTTGTACTTCTGGGAGTTCTCGCTCCACATACTGCCGAAGCCTACCTTGTAGGATTTTGAGCATAACCTTGCTAGCGTGTGAAATGAGCGCAATTGTATGGTAGTTGGAGCATTCTTTGGTACTGCCTTTCTTTGGGATTGGGATATAGACTGATCTTTTCCAATCCTCTGGCCACTGTTGAGTTTTCCAAACTTGCTGGCATACTGAATGTAGCACCTTAACAGCATCATCTTTAAAGATTTTAAATAGGGGAAGTACCATGTCATAAAAGTGGTTTTCCCAGGGGAGGATCATCCATTGGACTTTGGGTGTGCTGCTGATCCCTGTGATTTCCCCAAATGTGGGGAACTCATCTGCATAATTTATGTTAATGGGGGGATTGCATTTATGATTTCCCTGTTTTTTAATTTTTTTACAATCTCTTTACCTTTTGGTTCCTTGCTATTTTCACTATTCTCTATCATTTAAATTTGCAACCATAGCCCCTTTGGCAATGCTTTGCAAGATGGTTTTTCCCCCCAATTAGAACACATTAATTACATAAGATCTACTTTTTTATCCCCAAAAAGTAGGTCTTATGTAATTAATGTGTTCCAATGGGGGGAATACTGTCTTGCGAAATAGGTTTTGGGGGGAAAAACTGTCTTGCGAGGCAAGGACCTCAACATTGTCCAGCGAAGAATGCCCATAGGAACAATCGTTTTGGGAAGCATAACATTGCTCAAAAAAAGTCATTGTCTAGCAAATTCATCGTCTTGCAAGGCACCACTGTACTATGATTGACTCAATGGTCACATAACATTTTAAATGGGGAATGGTCATGACCCTGCTCGTGTTATCAGCCATCCATCTGAGAGATAAGCTATATCTTGGCTAAAAAATGATGCTATTTATTGATCCCTTATCTAGGGGCTACGCTGAAAACTGAGGCCACCAGAAACTCGCACACTCTTAAAGGAGGAGGTTGATTGTAAACAAGATTGTTTTGCTGCCACTATTCATTCTATTTCTCCTATGTGTATTTCTCTGTGTTTATGTGGCCAGATCTTGCTGCAGATGTAATACACACATTTTAGCCATATAACTGATACAAAACAAATTCTCTTCAAGGTAAAATATTTTAGTAAGATAACATGAGAAGCCAGCATACAGGATTACCAGGAGCCAGAAAGATGAACTATAATTGGACTATATAAAGACAACACAATGATCAGTTTGCAAATCTAGGGAACAGATTGCATATACGGAGTTGAGTTCTCTATAAGAGTTGTCTTGCGTTTTACCTTGATTCTACTGGGAAAGGTTCATAAAGAAATTTTTTGTAGAAGTCTTTCTTGATATCATGAACTAGTATCACTGCTTTGCCTTGATCGTCAAACTGAGGCCTACCGGCACGCCCCATCATCTGAAGAACATCTATAAAAATCAATTGATAATTACTTCAGATACAGCACACCTTCACTATTTACATTGTATAGCTAATGACAGCATTTAAAGACCTTTAAAATGAACTTTTTATCCCCATATAGTGGGGATTTGTTGGGAGAAGCATGAACATATATGAAATTATGTCACAGTTTTGCCACTTGAGGTATTTTTAACTTAAGACACCAGATTTTGCGAACTTAAATATGCAAAAAATGCACTCCCATCACTGAACTGCAGGTTTTCCACAGCATGAGTTATGCCAATAGAGCTCACTCCTATATTCATTTCAATGGTATCAAAACATCTGTTCTGTGAAATGTATCATTTTAAAATAATATATTTCTGCATTCCAATTTGATTCCAATTTTACTGAATTTCTTTTTAAAGGAAGGAAAGTAAAAATGTTTACTGACGATGTTTTGAAACAATGTATTAGGTAAAAAAATTTAATCAATATCAGATTCTTATTGATGTAAAAACACTTTATTGGACAATAATAATCTTAGAACTGCAGAGCTGAAGTGAATCTATGGATCATAGAGTCCAGCTGCTGTCAAGTAGGCACAGTGGGGAATCAACTCCCAACCTCTGGCTCCACAACCAAATACCTAAACCACTGAGCTACCCAGCAGTCATAATGGAACAACTTTTCAAAAAGCGATTAGGAGCTATGAGTTAATATCACTGAACAGAAGATATGAAAATTCTGAATCAGCTTTGTTCCATTTCATGTCTTAATACACTCAATACATGATTTTCAAGGTACAGTGGTGCCTCACTTAGCAATATTAATCCGTTCCTGAAAAACATCGCTAAGTGATTTAATCGCTAAACGATATGAAAAAGCCCATAGGAACGTATTAAAATGAGTTTAATATGTTCCTATGGGCTAAAAACGTACCTTAAAGTGAAACTCCTCCATAGCGGTGGCCATTTTGGGTGCCTCTAAAGCGAGGCAAAACAGCGGCGGCCCTTTTGTTTTTTGCGGCGGCCATTTTGGAACCGCCGATCAGCTGTTTTAAAAAGTTCGCTTTGCCATGATCGCTTCCCCGCGATCATCACAAAGCGAATTTTAGCCATAGGGGACATTGCTAAGCGATCACTCCAACAATGGCCAAAAGTCCATCGCAAAGCGATTTCATCAGTCAACAGAGTGATTGTTAAGCGAGGCACCACTGTAATGTATAACGTATATCAGTCAAACATATCTCTGGGTTTTGACAATACCTGTAATTGGATAATCAACGTAGCGCCTTGTCTTGCCATCATAAAATTCAGTCCCTTTAACAATTACTAAATGTGCAGGAAAATTGACACCCCAGGCTAATGTGCTAGTGGCAATAAGAACCTAAAATGAAGGGGGAAAGTGTGAAATTAGCACAGCTTTGAAAAGTGATTTTTCCCCCAGCAGCATATTGCAGCATTGTTATTACAGACAAAAAGAGCATACTTGGATCTTGCAATTTACAAATAATTCTTCAACTGTTTTTCTGTCTCGTTCATGAAGGCCAGCGTGGTGGATGCCTATTCCAAAGGCAAGAGTCAATTTGAGGTTAGACTCTCTGATTGTTCCTATGATGACATTCATCTGTAACAAGGAATAGTATAAAAAAGGATTTAACTATCTTGCAGAATATTATTAGTAACAAGACTGTTCACTGAAAAAAAAATCAACGTGCTACATGTTGCTTGTTTAAACAAAGGGAAAGAGCTGTCGATTCACTAAGAAATGCAAGCAAGCAAATTACAAAGTAAGAAAAGGTAAAACAGTAGAATTCAATATAAATGCTGAAAAGTTAAAAAAAAAAAAAGCACTAGTTTTCCAGTAGTGATTTTGGGCTTTTAAAGATTCCCCACCCCACTACAAGTTTTCCAAAAGTTTCTGCAGGGCAAAAAGGAGCCTTCTGGCACCCTTGGTATTTAAAATGGTGGGAAAGGAAGCTTTTAATTAGTTAAATGTTTAATTAAATGTTTCTGTGACTGACAAGGGATACACTGAGTGAAAAGTTATGCAACAGGATTTGCCCATGTTCAGACAATCAATAATTGCAGACTACGGACCTGATAATGTGGTGCTGCAGCTATAGAAAGTGAATTACATGATGAAAAATGGCTATTTTGGTCAATGTTTCTTTTTAGTTTTTACACACATGCCAACAAATACAAGTACACACATATTATTAGAAACTTCTCAACAAATCATAAAAATCACTAAAATGCAACAAAGTATATCTTTCATAACACAAATAATCATATCTACTTGTGATATTTACTAATGGTGGAAAAATGGTTTATTAAAAAACTCAAAAAAGTATTGTTGATTTACGTAATCCAAGGGAAGCTTCTATATCTGCCCTCAGGACAAAGACGGATGTTGCTATGCAGTGCTTTTGACAGTGATATAAATTAGACTGGAAAAATGAAAGCTTGCTTTGTACACTCGAGTAGATGTCGGACACATGAAAAAGCAATATATTTATAGAGTCCAAGTGGATGGGTAAAACAAAAATGGCCAAAGGAAAGGAATTCAGGCAACAAAGCAATTTTTAAAATAAAAGATCTGATCAAGGCTAAGAAAAATTACCTTTTCCCCAGTGAATGTCCCTATTGCAGAAAAAAAGTAAAAAATTCCAAAATTTAAAATATATTTAAAATATATGATGGCATTATCTCATATGGCATATGCCAAGGGAGCCCCCCCCTTTGGTGGAAAACAGGTGAAATGTATATGGGATTGATGAGAAGGAGGATAATGCTTGGAAACTTTCTCACTGGTCTGGGAAGTATTGTAAGTTATGTAAGAGTTAATATAGCAATGAGTTAAAACACTTCAGTTTTCAAGCAATTTTTAAAACAAGAAACAAATCATAATTAAGATAACTGTTAAAAAATACAAGAACCTGTTGTGTGAATAAAGCATATAGTTATTCACTGGAGCCAAGCAGTAGCAATGATATTAAGAAGTCCAGGTATACATACTGCACTTCTTAATTACATTTATCATCAGCTCACACTGCAAGACCTCTGGCAGCACAGCTACACTAGTATTTAAAATATCTATTTTAGCATTAGCTTTCATAGACAGTAGTCTACTTTTTCAGATGTGCCGAGTCTAGCATTCAAACCACAGATGTCTATCATTTAAGGAAGAGCATTGGTGTCTCTAAAAGCTCGTGTTAAAATCAGTCTGTTACTATTAAAGATAGAACAAAACCTTGCTTCCTTTAGTTTCTGTTAGGCATACTTAAACCAAAGCATCACAGCTAACTCTGAAAAATGCAAAATTGTTTCCTTCTTTATTCTGGACAACCAGCTTTGTAATAATATTGATCATTCATTTTGTTATCATATCGTAACACAACACATCTCCTCTTCTCCATTACACTGACAGACATTTATTCAAAAGACATTCCTAGTGTTTGCTGTGCTGTAAGTGTTATCCACACCCCAATCTGTCTCCTGCCCTGTATAGCAGTGTCCTGTGGTGCTGTTAGTAATACCTGCAAAGTTGTGTAATTTAACACAGTAAAACGAAAGGACCCTTAGCAGGAGTGCTGGCATATACACCACTGGCGTGTCATTCTAGCAGCAGGGGATCTTAGTCATTTCTAGCAGACTCCACTTACTTTCACATAAATCAGTACAAAAAACCAAAGCCAAAACAAATGTATTTTTTCCACAGGCACATTTTAGGACTTCAAACCACTAATAATTTTATTTTGCAGACAGTCCTTTAAGTTGTCAGTTTTTGAATGATTATTGTATTTGCCTAATAAAATAAGAGAAAACTATATCACAAGGGTGACCGACAGACCAACTCTGTCATGATAACTCTACTAAAATCTACGAGACAGCTAAGATGTGCAGTACCCACCAATTATATGAGGTGCTATTTAGGCTGCAATCCTAAACTCCATTAAACTCACTCATTAAATTTACTTAGAACTTACTTAGACATGTATATGAGCGTGGAGTTAATTATTTTCCTAACCTTACTTAAGACACGAGTGTCAAAGGAAAATCTGTCAAAACAATGCATACAAATGCAGGGGAAAAGTGAAACCAATGGGGAGGATATATCAGGAGTCTCCTACTAACTCTCCTCAGACTGAAGAAGCTACTTGGATGAGTAGCAAAATGTTTCGACCTAATAAGAAAGAAGTTCCAGTTGCCATGACTCAAGTTCTATATAACCTCACCTGGATGACTGAGAATCTTCACAGGTATAGTGCATATGAATATTGTGCTCTGTGCCAGCTTTTTCAAAAGCATAAGTACATGTTGCGATGAAGGGGCCCTTTGAATTTTCTTGATGCATTTGTGTTATTTGAAAAAAAAGCTAGATAAGCACCAGTTGCTTAGCAGGCTAAAATTTGTAAGTTCACTAAAGTGGGCTGACTGTAATAGTAATGTCAAAGTTATAGAAGATTTGGCCCATCTTAAATGAAATTATATCAAAGAATTAAAAATTGACATAATACACTGATTTGTTTAAAACAGCTGAAAAATCACTGGCTTGCCTGCATGATGAATATGCCATTTCATTGCTGTCTTTGAAAACTAAGATACCTTTTGAAAGATAACATTTATACTTTAAAAACTGTTGCAAGAGGCAGGAATAAAATATCAACAGCAAGAGTTTTCTTCAACTAATAACTAAAAAAAATTGACCAATTTAATATAAACAAGGTGGGTTATATATATTTTTTTAAAAAACGTACCTAAAAAGCTTTGTTAGGAAGACAGAATTCCATTTAAGTAGATACATTACCCAGGGTCTGAAATTCATTCCAGCCAGGGTATAATTCAGCAAGTTGATGACAACGCTGGCTCCAAAAGAAAGGAGGAGACCAGATTGGACAAGAATGAGCTAACAGATTGTGCAGCCCAATTCTGTCCCTTTGAGTGTGATATATTGTTTCAAGATGCTAACCCCCCCATAGTTTCTCAAAGCATATCTGCCGCCCTGGTTTTCCCATTTTCACAGAATCCTCATTATTAGTACTCTGTACCCTTTTCAAAGCACATCAGACTCAGACCATATGCCACTGCATAACACTTATCGATTGTCTGAAATGGCTGGTAAAGAAAGATGGGCTGAACAAAAGAATCAGGGAAGTTATGAAGTCTTAAAACAAAACATAATTACATACTTCACATCTGGCACAGATGTTATGTGAAGTTAAAGTACTGCTGTGTTAAGGTAAAATGGTGTTTTTAATGACAGCACACAACCCTGGAGAAGGATAATGTACTGAAAATCCTGAGAAAGATTCTGTCCTCTCTCTCTCTACACATGTACAGGCATATGTACTGCATTGTAAGGAAGCCCTAAGCACCAAAGCTCAACAGAGCACAATGAACACAGACATGCACTGAAATCTCCATTCAGCCGTGAAACTTATTGGGTTGCTTTTAATCTATGTTTAGTTAAAGGTAAAGGTTCCCCTTGACATTTAGTCCAGTCGTGTCTGACTCTAGGGCGAGTTGCTCATCCCTGTTCCCAAGGCATAGAAACATTTTTTGTGACAAGACAGTTTCCATAGTCACGTGGCCAGCGAGACTAGACACGGAACACCATTACCTTCCCATTGAGGAGGTACCTATTTATCTACTCACATTTTTACATGCTTTTGAACTGCTAGGTTGCCAGGAAGTCTATGTTTAGCTGATTTCAAATGGTTGTTGTCAGGACTAAAAATGATATCATAACTATATGTGGAATGACTGCCTAGAGCAATCTTGAGCAAAACCAGGACAAATATAAAAGAAAGAAAAACCAATAAATAAATGCCACATTCTTTTTAAAAAAATTATTGAAAAAAATAATTAGCTGTAAAGAATAAAATTAAAATTAAACATGCAACATGTGTGCTATGAGTACTTAAGAGATTTGTTGTTGTGTTGTTTAGATTACTTTAAAAGAGAAGCCAAAGAAAAGCTGCCATATTAATTGAAGTGTACACATAAGCTGAAATAAAGAAATAAAGAGAAAGGACAGGTTGCTTTCTGGTTCTTCAGTCACCTATGAATCCACAAATAGGGGACTTGTACAGTACCTGCGCAAACCCTGAGGGCCTGAAACTTTATGCAGTAGCACTGGAAGGGTTCAACCATCTAGCGGCATGACATACGTCTGTGCTCAAAGTGGTGAAGAGACAAAAAGTCTCTTACAATTGAAAGGAGAGGAAGTATGAAAGTATCTTTTGAGACACTCCATAATGTCGAGTCATTGCTCGCAAATAAACAGATACATATTTTACTGTTTTCAATCACCTTGTTTTTGGAAGCCCCTACAGCTTTTCCTTGAATGGACTGAATGGCCTTCACTTAAGTGAAACAGGCACTTGGGGAGTTTCCATTGGGAACGGCAATTTTTTTCTTGTACAAAGTGTATTTCTTGAACATGGCCTTAGAAACCCTAAAATGATATTGATGATGCAAGAAGCTGGGTAATGCCAAATAGCAATGGATGATGATAACTGAGGTTTATTACACATTTGCACACACAAACACGCAAACATTTTTTGTGACTGCAGAGTAGGAGCTGATGATACAGATCTATTTCCCCCCTTAATAATTAATATAAATTATTTCATTATACTTATTTTAGTTATTGATTGGTCTCATTTATATTCTCCTTTCTTCCAGTGAACTCATGGCAGTGTGTATGGTTCTCCTCCCCAACCCCTTCCAATTTTTCTTCACAACAACCATGTGATAGACATTAGCCTAAGAGACCGTGATTGGCCCATGGCCACCCTGTGAATTTCAGATCTCCCCAGCCCTCGACAACAGACTGACTGCTACTCCATATTAGTTTTGAAACTTCTGGGGGTGGGGTGGGGACAAATTTTAAGAAATGCGCTAAAGCACAGCTTTCATTCAAATAAACAAACAAATAAAAACCTTTACAGTATGTCACAAGATATTAAAATCATACTATTTTTGCTATCTTATGTTTCACATTGATACTACTAGGTTTTTGATGTCATTGTTGAAAAGCAGAAAATTCCTTATAGAGCCTTTTTGATACTAGATAGAGTAGAAATTCAAGATAGAATGTTATTTTCTTCTATTTTTATATGTAAACAGAAAGCATTTTCCTCTCTATAAAGGTATACACATTTTATTTCACACATTCTCAAGTTTACATGTGGTTTCCTGTTCAGAAGCCATAAAGGACACCACTCAACATGTGGAGTAATCTTCTCAATGACCTCAACAGGAACTGGACAAAGCCTCTATGAAGTGTTGTGTGTGTTCTGTGCTGTCAAGATGGGACTGACTTAAAGCAACCCTAATACGGTTTTCAAGGTAAGTGAGCCATTTTAGGAGTGGTTATACCAGTTCCACTTCCTCTGTGAGTTTCCATAACTGATTCAAATCCTGTTCTCCAGAATCCTAGTCCATCACTCTGTCCTCTATATCAGGGGTCCACAACCTCTGGTCCATGAGCCAGTAGTGGTCCGTGGTCTAGGCAAGACTGGGCCACGGACACAGATCACCTGCCCCCGCAAGCACGCCCCATGCATGCGTGTGAGCACAACGTCCCCGCGAGCATAACACGCCCCCGCCAACCAGTCTGCAGTTAGGAAAAGGTTGGGGACCACTGCTCTATACCACACTGAGAACACTGTGAAGTGTTGCTAAACATCAAATCCCACAAAATATGAATTTGATACACTGCAAATTGTACATCTGGCACAGTAATAAAGCTTCTATTTTAAACAGTGTATTTTCTGAATAAATACTACTATATTAGGCCTGAGTTTGTGGCTTCCTATGTGTGATTTAGGAGTTGCACATACCCTACATCAGGGGTCTCAAACTCAATTTACCTGGGGGCCGCTGGAGGCAGAATCTGGATGAGGCTGAACCGCATCAGATTTTCCGCCAAGCAGAGCAAGAGCCCGAGAAGAGCCGGTGAGTCGGGCAAGGCTTTTTTTGATTCTTGACAGCAGAGGACACATGGGCACTTCAGGGGGGGCAGGCAAGGCGGGGGCCACAAACTATCATCTGGCGGGCCGCAAATGGTCCCCGGGCCACATGTTTGACACCCCTGCCCTACATTGTGGTGGGGGAAAGTATTTGGACTGTAACACCCATCATTCTTAGATACAACTTAATAGGGTTTGTTTGTATAAATGATCTACCTCTGCTCTCCATGAGTCTCCTTAATTATGGTTCATTTACACTGATCTGTCAAAATGAACTAAACCTTGTGATTAAAGACAACAGAAGCACATCAGAATTGTGTAACTATGCAAATGTATAACTCTGGGAGGCAAACTGCCTAGAGTTAAGAAATCTCAACAGACAGTCTATGGAGAGTTTTCAACTTGAGGCAATTTGACTTCAAATATTACACCCTTTGCACAGCACTGCAACAGGATTTCCACCAATACATGTAACACATTTGCCACCCCTGATGAGATCTTGCCACACATCATTCTGCAATAAATATATCAAATGAATACTTTGTTCTAAAAAGGAACCTGAATTTACGAAGCTATGTCCTACCCCCCAAGAGGTACAAACTATTTGCCTTTGCACATCTACATGTGCAAACATACTTCTAGTTACTTAAAAAAAACAAAAAAACACCAATGTGCTTGAAGCTTCCGACCTGAGTTACAAAACACATTTAAGCAGTGAGGTTATCTGCTTCTAAAGGGATGGATTTTATTCCTGTTAAGTTACAATAAGGATTGAATTTACTAGCACCTCTTGTTGTTCTTATGTGCTGTTAAGTCAGAATTAACTGACAGTGATCACAAGACTCTTTCAAGGTAAGTGAGATATGTAAGGTGTGGCCTTACCAGTTCCAGCTCCCCTTCCCCCAGCAAGCTTCCATGGCTGGACAGGGATTTAAACCCAGCTTTCCTGAGTTCTAGTCCATCACTCTGTCCACTATATCATGGGTCCCCATTCCACGGTCCACGGCCTGCTGCCGGTCCGTGACCTTTGCAAGGCTGGGCCACCCCACCCCACCCCCTGGCATGCTCTCCCCCCTGCA